TTTATGAACAGTAGTGCATAACTTCCTCTCTTCTGTCCATTTTTATTTTACACTCTAACATAGCTTATTCTCCTTGTTCATTTTACAATTCAGGTGTAAATCTTATTCCCTCTACTACCGAGTTTAAATATGTTAGCAAATAAGAGATGATTAGATTGGTAAATTTGATAAAAACTGGTCATTTTGATGTCTGTACAAAAAGAAAAATGAATGAATTTTACATTTAATTAGATTTCAGAAATTTTCCTGTTATCCTAAAATATTTCTTTTTTAGCAGCATATCAGGTGGTACATACAAACTCTGACATCACATTTACTTTTATTTTTCTCAGCACTTTAGAACTTTTAATTACTATTTTGCGGAAATTTCTGACATTTACAAACAGTTCAATCTCTTTGATGTTTTATAAAACTTCCACCTGAAAATCTGTTAATTTTACCGAAAATAAAGAGTCTACCTATCACCTCTTTAAGTGTAAACTATGAAAATATTTGATAAGGATCAAGATGGTGACTTTTGAAAAATAAGAAACTGTTTTTCTAAGATTTACAAATTTACTTGCTTATAAAATTTCAACGAGAGTATATTTATTTTTTACTAAATACTCCAGAAATTTAAGCATATGTATGCAAGCATACGTGTATACGCTTAAATTCAAATTAGGCGGTAAACTAATTTTTGAACAAATGATTGACTTGTCCAATGTTCAATGATTGGTAGGTTTCTGTTTCTTTCTTTTTTTTAGTGTTATGATTTTTATCTACATGAATCGTAATAAAAATGATGACCTGGTGAGTTTCATAAAGATTTATCTATAACCAATCAAATATATATATTATCACTTGTCAATTTAATGACAATCATTAACGTCTTTTTGTTTGTTTTAATATTACCTAGTATTCAAAAAAGAAGAGTTCAAATAATCACTGAATGTTGTAACTGTCAAGCATATATGCATATATACATACATATATAATAACGCGAGATATTTTTCAACTCGTTAGGTATAATTTTTGGAAAGATTTGTACTGTATGCCATCGTTAATTAAATCTTACCTCACTCAGTATAACCATTTATATATATAATGTTCATAAATGCATGCATGTAAAGCATTGAAATAATTAGTCATACATGTTAAAGTTTAGGCGGTAAGGCTAATAATCGTTCTATTTAAAAACCAAGTTAGATTATGATATGATAAATAGAGAAATCTGGTATAATTTTACCTTGCAGAAGTTATTGCTTCTTTTGAGAAATGATGTTATGCGAATTATATGCAATTATGCATAGTCTGCAGGTGTTTTACTTGCCGATGGCAGATTTCAAGGTTAGCGAATTCAGTTGAACATAATATTTTTATTATTTAACCTTTGGACAGATGGTTGGTAAAATATATATGCAATAAACTGTCTAACTACATTAATGTGTCACTTGGAATTCATGGCATATATTACAGATGATACTTCGACGAATCTGCTGAAAGACGACCGTTGGAAACCTGGTCTTTGAATACTTCAGTAGATACTGTTTACACAATCTATACAATCGAACCTTCCCATAGGTCGACATTTTGGTTTCTTCAACACTGTCTTCACTTTTTTCTAATCCAATACGTTCTAAGTAGAAAATAGGGCTTAAGGCTTTGAGTTTTCAATAGTGTTGGCATATTCTTTTGCGGAGTGAGATTGCTTACCTCACTGTCAGCTTTCCTTCCATTCCAGGCTTTCTAGTAGCTAGCAGACTGCAAGAAGTATAGGGTTGGGTTCTCCAAAGAACCGGAACTTCCCACGTGCATGGCGAGGATCCTACCATTGAAATATTGAAGTAGGACCCAATAGTTTTACTAACACATTCATGTATATATATATATATATTACCCGATATATTATATTCCATCCAAGTATAAGAAAGTATGTACACATAAAACATTCTGAAAATTTGTTGCCAGACACCTATATGTTGGCAGAGCCACTGATAGTGAAACTTTCTGAGATAGCCATTGGTTAGTAGACATTTTTGATAGTTGAAGATGGTATATAAATCTGAATTGCGGTAGATTTTGAATTAGAAACTTCAATCCCAGTTTTGATTTCACCTTCGAAATGTGGCTCACCATCACGGTGCACTGTGAACTGTTGGTATTGGATGGTTAGAGGCATGGTGAACACATTGCAAACTTGACTGGTAGAATTGAATCTTCACCAACGATAGCGTTAGATGCATTACACTAGTTACTTACTAGTGTCCAATAAAAAATATTTATAGCATTTTTAATGTAATAAAAGAAATTTATCAATCTAGTATTGATAAGTTTTTTTAACAATAATTAGTCAGTATCAACATGTCAAGGGGGTGATAATTAACAAAGAGAATTAATACACACAATTAAGGGTAGAAATGGTTACAACACGTGTATTGCATAATGTATAATTTTAGAAAAATGAAGAGTAATAAAGGAATAAGCAAGTGTTTAAGTTGATTACGTAACAGATCATTAAAGACAAATAAAACGATTTAGACAATTTCAGGATTTCATCATGAACTGACATCGGTTAGAAAACCACTGAAAAAACTGGGAATACTGGGTAACTGTTTCACCCTGGTTTGGGACTCCTTATCCGTACGCACCAATCGTCAGGGTTCAAACCCAGGACCTTCTGATTACAAGGCGAGATCGTAGATCATTAAGTCACTGGGACCCGATCCAATGGCTAGCCCATGAATTTCAACTTCTGCCGATTCATGATACAGCGCGACTACTAGCTAATGTCATCGACTAGTATTTTTCTTCAAACCCGACCTGCTGTACTCCACTGGTCACGACTTCCCGCTAGAACCCCAGGTTACTATCTACCGGAATAAGGCCAGTCACCAGTGAGATTATGACTTGTAATTAGAGATGAAGTAGTTATAGGAATAAATTAATTTGAAGAATTATGATTTTTAAAATGTTTGGTGGGAGGGCGAAGTAGTCCGGTCTTCTTTTAAAAACTTTCCCTAAATTGTATCTTAAATCAACGGAAAAATCAAAACTGAATTGAAAATAAATGGAAAAATTTCCTAATAAGTTTAACTAGAGAGTTAAATATATTGGTCTTCTGTTAAATTGTCATAATATTAATTATGCAGCTGTAAATTCACAAAAAAGTACGAAAGGTAACTTTTAGGTATGTATTGATAATATAAGCCGTATAAATTAACTGGAAGTGTTTCTGTCAGCTGAAGAATTTAAAATCAGTCATTACTAATACTCCTTTCGGTTCTCAGTAGAACATAGGACCTCAGGAGCACATCTAGATTTTATCTCTGCTTTCTGTTGTCTTTTCAGTTGGCTCGACAAATGCATACAAAATTTTCATTTCCTCCTCACACTGTCTGCTCCGTGTCACCCTCAGACCCATACCCAACGAATCATTTCCCATTGAGGTTCCACTTGAGGGCCTATCCAGCATGTGATATCACTTGACGGTCCTCTCAGCGTATGTCACTCCATCTCTATTTCATCCTATTTATCTCTTGGGCGATAGGTTCTTGGTTGGTTATTCGTCAGAGTTCCTTGTTGCTTATCCTTTCTGGATGACCACCGAATCTGCAGTCTGTTGGAATTTTTTTCAGTGATGCGCTCACGAAGTCTCTGAGACATATAGTAGAAATGACCTGACTTTAGTCATTTGAATTCTGATCTTGTTCTTTATGCTGAGTGCAGCAGATTTCCACAATGATTTAAAATCAATGAAGGTTTTTTTTTCCGATCCTGTCGCTGACATTCATCATCCAATGTCGACTATCTGTAGTTGAAACAATTCTGTCTAGGTATCTAAGTGAAGGAAACGACTTTATTAATCATCTGTGAAGCCCAGATTATCCACTGTCTTTTCGTCGATCTCATGTAGGCCTGTCACATGATCCAGTTCACCACACTGAGGTCGGAACATATATTTAAAATATGCTAGCTGAGGGAATTTAAAATTATATCATGACAGTAAAACTGCTGACAAAACTGTTTACACTGAGAAACCCTAATGAAAAGTTGATGTGTCTTATGCATGGTCGAAATTTGTTTCCTTTACGTCTTCATTTCAAGTGACATTACTTGTAACAAAAAAGGGAATAATCCGTGATCGAGTTATTCAGCCAAGGTCATATAACAGTAATAAAGTGTTCCATCCAACTAAACTCTAATTTCATAAAGCGAAAATCTTTACTGTGTAAAATTATGCAATACCTAAATAGCCTTTATTTCGATCATAAAAAAGACTGACGATGTTGTAAACCACAAAAAGGATGAAGTTCCGAACAGTATCATAACTAGGGCGTTTCGATTTTTCCACTCTGTCGATAAATAAATGAAAGACACATTTGAACTTCTTATTCACACTGAACTGACAATTTACCATTATAAGACAATCTATTCTAAGACGAATTCTTACCGAAAACTGCAATGATTTGAGTGGTCTGTGGGGATTCGATTGGTTACAAGTGACATCATGGGTTCGTCTCGTATTCTGAAGGACCCACATTCGACCTCTAGTGGTGGCGTCATGGATGCGTAGTTCTGAAGAGTCTCAAGTTAAGATGAAGTGGCTGTCGAAGACTCACTAGATTTTTATGTTTCTCTAACCGATATCACAGGCTGTGATTAAACTTGAATTTTTCTTTCATAGTCATTAGAAATGCAAGGAAAATTTTATAAATAAACACATACACTTATTTATATGTGCGCCTCGGTGGTCGAGAGGTAGAATCCTCACCAACAACGCCTCATGTGGTCCCGAGTTCCACTCTCGGCTGATGCACTACTAAAATTGTCTTGGACAGTAGTAGACCCGGTAAAGAGGGAAGGCTGGGTGTGAGGCTGAAAACAACAATAGCAGCTACGGTTATTAAAACTTCAAGCCTCAAGCTTGAAGTCCTATGCTTGACACGGAAGAAAAAGGAATGAAATAATAATAATAATTGAAAAAAACTATTCATAATATCCTGATAACCTTAACTCACTTGAATGCTTTTTAGGCATTTTATACACCGAAGGTACATCATCATTTTGATAGACAGTATTATATCGCATACACTGTACATAACTTGAACAAATCCAGTATATGTATAGAAGAATTTTAAAAACTTTCAATCGACTAGGCGTTAATATGAATTTCTGCATTATGTATTCTCTCTGGTTTATGGTTTATTTACTTATGTTTTTTTCTCACTTGTATACTTTTTCGTTAATTTGGAGGCAATAATGTTTGTGAATTTATTAATGAGATTGAATTCATCCAAAGATAATTAAAGAATTAGGATTTAGAAGAGGAAAAAAAATCCCAAAAATTATTCATTGGTTATGCTTCATTTTTATTACTGAAATGACCAATCAGAAGCAATTGCAAAATATTCCCAAAATAACTTTACGGATGTACATGTTTTCTTTTTCAAAAGAAGAAAAATATTTTTCAATGTTTTCTTCCGTTGAAGTGAATGACTGGCTAAATAAGGTGAGGAAGGTAAATAAACTGAAAAAATTCATTGGTAAACCCTTTGACTTTGACTCAGATTTCTTTTTCATTCCTTTGCTTTTCAAGCGGAGCATAGGACTTCAAGCTTGAGGCTTGAAGTTTCAGTAGCAGTGGTGTTTTTTTCTTTGCCCAGTAAAGCTGCTTGCTTCTAACATCCAAACTCCCTTCTTCACCGGGCCTTACTACAGATTAAAGCAACTTTAGAAGTGAGTCGACAAGGGATCAAAGCCTGTACCACGCGAAGCGTGGTTGGTGAGGATTCTACCTCTGAACCTCTGACGCATAGACATAATTAGGTGTATGTATTTGTTTATAAAATTTTCTTTAGAATTTTATTAATTGTGAACGATAAAGTTCAAGTGAAATCACAGACTGATGTGATCTAGAGAAGCGTAAAAATTCAGGGAGTGTTTATCGAACAGCTATTTCACCGTAGTTTAAGATTCTTTTGAGGTATACACACATAACCCCACCGATAGGGATCGAATCTGGGACCTTCAGAATACAAGGTAGACCTAAGACATAACTTGAAATTGTGTGAAAATCCTGCAGACTAACACTTGGAAGTAGTCTTTTCCCTTTCTCATTCAGATACTTCACTCATAATCTTGCAATCTTTAATGATTAATTCATTTCAGAATAGACTGTTTAAATAAAAAGCAAGAACAACAGTGGTTTGTGTAGAATAATATGGTACCATCACTGATTTCGTTAGCCTCACATCAGCTGCTTACAGCTTAAATTAATTATTATTAAGTTCATGTACAGTGATGTCTTAACATACTTTCAAATTTTACATGATGTCAGTTGATAGGAGGTTCTGGACTTAGTGAACAGTGCTCAAAAAATTACGCTTATGTAGCTTTTACACAGGGAGTTCAAGTTTACAGAAAGTAAATGTATGCATACAATGGTATAGGAGTTACGTAATAAAGACCAGGGGTGTGTAAGATGATGATTAACACCGCATAAGGTGGAAATCGTGAAGTCCTTTTAAATCAAGAATAAACAAAGAAGCTCAATTCTACTCAAGTTTGCCGAAGCAATCTCTATTAAACCCCTGAAACGCAATTTATGTGTTCAGAAAGATTCAGTTATCAGTCTTTCCTTGCCCTGGCAAATGGATGGCTTTATTCTCACTTTCATTTGATTGTGAAATCATTGGCTTGAACCTTAACCCCCTTGATATAGTGTAATTTTGCTTGTCTCTTATTTGAGTTTAACTCAGTACATTGCCACCCAGTTTATTAGTTACTCATTTTCTTACTCACCCCTCGTCCTTATTACGTAACTCCTTTGACATTGTATGAATACATTTAATTTGTTTGGACTTGAAGTCCCTGTGCGAAAATTATATAAGCGTAATTTTCTGAGCACTGTTCACTGAGTTCGGGACCTCCTATCAACTGACATCATATACAATTTGCAAGTATGGTAAAATTGTTTCTGTAGATAAACTTAATATTGTCTTTGGGCTATAAGCAGTTGATGAGAAGTCAACGAAATAGGTGGTGATACCATATTATTCTGCCCAAACCACTGTTGTTCTTGCTTTATTCAAATTCATGAAGGTGAATAAATGTGTGAAATGGACTGTTTCATCATGGTATATTCTCAGTCGATTTGTGTCACTAGTTTAACTATATCTTTTTACAAGTTGATCACGGATTGATATCAGTCAGAGAGCCATTGAAAACCGAGGAGTGCTGGACAGCTGTTTCTGCTTCCTAGTTTGGGAATCATCGGCAGTACGCACCCACTACAGGGGTTCGAACTCAGGACCTTCCGGTTACAAGGCAAGCTCGTATGCCATTCAGCCACTGGGACCCGACTCGAGTGCGGGCCCATGAATTCTAACTTCTACGAATTCGTGATTTAGCGCGACCCCAACTATTGTCGTCGGTGAGACATCCATCCTTAATCCGTGATCTGCTCGTAAAAACATAACTAACCCTTACAAACCAAACTATAGAAAATTAAGTACATCTTCCATTTATTTATTAGTAGAGTCAAGAAAATAAAAGGATGTCAGGAACGATACAGTTTTGAAGGTTGCTTTTATACGATTTGCAGCATCGTCAGCCTTTTCATGATGGAAATAAAGGCTATTTAAATGTGTCAGTTGGACAGTATGTACTGCGTGATTACCTGCAAGGGAATTCTTCTCTTCGTGAAAATACAGTTTAGTCGAACAGAACAAATTATTATTGTTATATCACCTTAACGAATTTATCAGTAATTCATGCGAATATGAACCTCAGAAGAAAGGAGAACTTCGTCATAACTGCAGATGTTTCTTGTTTCTGAATAATAAAAAATATGAAAACAACATTCAGGACTGGAAATGTTGATAACAACGAATAGTTGACACCATAATCACAGTGTAGCACACTAAACAACAGTGTAGAATGATTTTAGATGTCCATCACATTATGCGTTTAATTTAATAGATTTCTGTTAACATCCTAGACGACGGTGAGCCAAATATTCTGCACATGTAAATGATTAGCTTGGATGAAACTCATCCTCCAGGAAAGGAACATTTAATACTTATGAATCCATAGAAATCTTCTTCTTGATTCTTTGTTATCGGTAAATATTTTATTCGGGAAATATAAAGCAGCAGGTAATTATTATTCTTTGAGTTCTGAGTGGAACATAGGGCTTCAATAATACTACTCCACTTTGTGCTATCTTCTGCTGTCCTCTTCATCTGGGTACACGATTGCCCACAATATCTCATCTCCTCCTCGCCACACGATCTCCTCCATGTCACCTTCGCGCAGACGACTCACTCGTCGCTTCCCATTCTGATTCCATTCGAGCAATGGTTTGCACTGCGCGCGATGTCATCCAACGTTTTCCTGAATGTATGCCCAAGCCATCTCCACTATCTCCTAGCTCTTTGTTGAACAGTCGGCTCTTGGTTGGTTTGTTGTCAGATTTTCTTGTTGCTAATTCTTTCCGGCTGGCCATTTGATCTTCAGAATGGAGCCAACGAAGACAGCTGTTGATAAAGTTCTGTAACTTGTTGTAAATCCTTTTCGTGACACGCAGTGCAAGTTTCTGACCCGTATAGGAGAACTGACTGACTGACTCCACATTTGTGTTGAAAATCCGAATCTTGTTCTTTATGCTGGCTGAGTGAGTGCAGAAGATTTCCTAACTGGTTTCAGGTTGATGAAAGTATATCTTGCATTTCCGATTTTGGCTGGCTAGCTTTGACATCTTCATCTGTTCCATCTGTAGTTGAAATGACTAATAAAATCATATAAAAAGATTGCCAAAAAGAACCTATAGAATATAAGCATAAAACTTGGGTACTGTGGTAGAGTATAACTCGATTGGGGATAAAATTTTATTTTGATAAATCACACAGTGTTGTACAGCAATATTAACTGATGACGTTTTGAGAACAAACTATTGCTCATAATCATATCAAGTACCTACGTATGATGAACCTATAGAATAGACTAGCACTGTTTTGTGAACTTTCCACTTAAAATAATTCACATTTCTCTTGCAGTGAAAATATCCGAACTGGACCACGAAACATTTTGTTGTTACGCATACTTCGATAGGGTATTTCATCTTCACTTGTTTTAATCATCTACCTTTACTTGTAATATGAATGAGGTTGACTTATTTTTTTAACCTTGAGAAAATTCACTTCTTTCACTTAGCCACTTGAAACAGAATCATTTTAACCACAAGCAGCAGATATGAGGAGGTCAAAGCCACGCAGGATTGGAACAGGAAGAGGCAGCTGTTCATTACTCACATATCGGTATGGAAATCTGCTGCACACAGAATAAAGGACGACCTTCAGATTTCCAACACTAACGTCAGTTGAGTTAGCACTTTTATATGGTTCACGCACTTGGCGGTCGCGTCATCGAAAGGATTTCCAACAAACTGCTGCAGACTCATACTAACAGCTATTTTTACTGATTCGAAGCTGAAAATCAGATGACCAACTGGAAAGGATAAATGACAAGGAACCATCGGGAAAAATTGACAAAGAATCTGTTGTCAAGCAAATATAACGAAGGAAGTGGAAATGTGCTAGACACATGCTGAGCAGGCCGTTGAGCGACATCAACCACCGCGCCCTCTAGTGTAATCCCAATGGAAGCGACAAGCTGGGCGTGGATCTGAGGGTAGCATGGAGGCGATTGTATGAAGAAGAAGTAAAAGCTTATGAACAATTGTGGAGTCAGCTTAAGAGGGCTGCCAAGAAATCAGTACAGTGGAAATGTGCTGCTAAATCCCTATATTCCATCCAGAACATAGGAGAATAATGACGAAAATACTAGTACAACTTTCCAAAATTTTCGAATTCTGTCATCGTGATTTTCCTCCTGACATTTATGAACCTATCATTATTTCTTGGAGTACTGAATCAAGCTAGAAACATCATTATACACTGAAATGTGAAGATACCCAGTTATCGGATAATCAATGCATAACTGCAGGCTATATCAGACTGATTGTCCAGGAAGCGTATGGTTTCATAGAACAATAATCGATTCGACTTAGAAAAAGCAACAAGAAATTGTAAATATTTATAAATCACTAACAGTGGTGATAGCATAATTAGACTAACTACTATTCGAATACTTACTTAAAGAGACAAAATGTGTAATATGTATTTTTGAGTGACATTAGATTTCTAATATAATGTCTTGAGTATTTTATTCATTATTGCATCTGAGATTAGCAGAGAAGACTGATG